GATGGCCAGTCTTTATCTTATTATTGATATTTTTATATTTGCTGGGTATTTAATTTCAAATCAAACAAAACTTATATTCAAGACATAAGAGGTATTTGTGTACAAAACAAGCAAACAACATTCAGTTGATTCAATCAATAGTATCTTCTTTTTCTCATCGGATTCATGAAATTCAATTTTATTGGTTACAAATCAAAGCTTTTTTTTTTAGGATCTCTGGAATATTTTCATTACTTGATGTTGTATCAGAGAAAATGTGTATTTTACTTATTACAGTGATGGGAATTTTCCGACAATTGTCGGAATTCCAATAATTTCTTCTGATCCGATTTTCTATCAAAAAAATCCGAAGTTTTCCAGACATTTTTTTAAAAAATCCGATTTTTTTTTTTTTTTTCAATTTTTTTTTATGAAAAAAAAATTTGATTTTATTATTTTTCCATTTTCGGAAGAATGTGAAATAAGATTTTTTATTTGTTTTGAACATGCGCACATCCGGTCTTTTGACACAGTTAAAGTTCTATTTTTTTTTAAAAATCTTGTGTTACCGTATTGTCTTATAAGTCTAGATCTCGGTCCAGACTAGAGTGGTTTGAATCAGTCTAGATCTAGATAGATATATTCTAGATAAGATATCTAGATTCTTTAATTTGAATACTTTTGATCTAGATCTAGAGCATCTAGACTTCAATGGCTGCTTGCCAGCTTTTGAAAAGTATTAGACTTAAACTTAAGTCTTAAGAGTATCATGAATGATGCCCGGTCACTATGTTAATGTAGTGCTAATCGCCGCTATTACTACAATTCTAAATCTATTATTTTTTCACTGTTGTTACGATGGCCCCTAGATTTTTCTAATTTGAACCCTGCCTGCCGACTTCCATGAGTTCAAATGGGATTAGATTTAGACATCTAGAAATAGATCTATCATAATAATAATAAGATCTAGATCTACTCATCTAATAGAGTGATAGACCTACCGGCCATCTGGATATATATAGAATATACTTTTTTTATATAGTAGTAGGCCTTCTTAAACTTCTTTACATGACTATAGTGAGTTACTGAGTATAAGCCTGATAGAATGTAGATATCTAATAATAATATATTGGATCTAGAGTAAAGTTATTAGATATAAGTAGCTCTAGATTCTAGATATAGATCTATCTATAGTGAGGGATATATATATATATATTTTAATAAAAAAGTTTAACAATTTTCTCTAACTAATAACTTATCATTACTAATGCTATAAAAGCCCAGTGTGGTAGAGATCCACTTCTTATAAACAACTTTTATCAGCATGAAAAAGAGTCACACAAGGAAGCCTCAATATGCAGTTTTATTGATAAACATTCTCTTCCTCTAAGCATTGCTCCTCATCTGGTTGTTCTTGCTCATCTTGCTTAAGAACTCAGCTGAGATTCAGCAGCTTTCTCTCAATTGCTTTTCAAAGCATTTTTGGTGGACTTCATGTGCAAAGCCTAGTAAACAGTTTCTCCTGTACAAAATTTAATAATTAGTGAAACAAACAGAAGTGTAGCTCATACTTTTGAAGTATTTCCAAAACTCAAGCATGTCTTTCAAACACATTTAATCCTTATAGTTGTTTGAGAAAGAAGTTGTTACAATATCTGTAAAGCAGTTATCTATTATAGAATGCTCAGACTGCAAATAGCTTTCTCCTCCCATCTAGATATATACAAACAATAGTGCCATGAATGCATTTTGTGTGCAGTAATGCTCAATGCAGTGCATTTTGTGTGCAGTAATGCTCAATGCAGTGTAAATGTTATGTAATACAACATTAGTTAAAGAAAATATTAAATAAAATGATTCTACATAGTTAAAAAAAATTCAGCAACATCTTTTTTAAAGTCACCGCGACAGGGGGGGGGGCTCACACAATTTCCTAAAATTTTTGCAAAGTCAGTTCCCATCACTGTTATTAGGTATCTATTAAGTTAAGCTTTATTTGTTTACAATTTGCAGGTCTGATTTTCGCCTATCACTCAAAATGTTTCAAGGAGTGTTAGCAAAAGCAATTGAAAAAAAAAAAGGAATTACATTAAGAATTAAAAAACAAAATCAAGGAGCTGCTAAGGTATCACTTACAAGTTATTTCCAATTTGACTTGGACTGATTTCTAATGGCAATAATTCCTGTATATTTCAATAATGCTAGTTTGTTTCATCATATTTTGTATATTTGTTTTTATTGTTAGTTTTGTAAATGTAATTTTAATTGTGTGTATAAATTCTCTATATGACATGGTTGTGTTATTGCTAGTATTATTCTACACTTCAATTTTATTCACATTTTATTGGAACTGTGAAACACACAAAATATTAACTCCAAGGTTTTGGCTAAATGCTTCTTCAAAATATCAGAAATAATGATACAATGTCTTAATAAGTGCATTAACAAGTTTTGATTACCTGTTAGGTTTTGTTAGCATAGTAGATAAAGCAAGAGATAACCAAATAAAGAAAGATTTGTATTTTGTGGTGATTTTTCCCTTGGGATGACTTAAAGCAGCAACAGTAGCAAGATAATGTAGCTCAATAGTACAAACATTGCTTAGTATGTTTGTGTTTAAGTTTTGTATTCAACTGTCAATGTATTAACTGTTCTAGCAAACTTTTAAATTTTCTAGAGCAAATACTCTTTCAACTATTGTACCACCAATATATAAATGGTATTTACATGGGGATTGCAGAATGTGCAGAAACCATTGCATTACAAAAATATAAAAACAAAAGATGCCTAGCTGGATAAAGTGTTGTGTATAAGTAAGTTTGTTTTTATTTCATGCTCTTCAAGTGCTCAATGTGACCACCACCAGTGGCACTGACGACATCAAGCAGATATGAAAATTCCTACCAAAGGCAGTGGATTGGTAAAAGAGGTGCTATAGATCATGCTCTCTGCAGTTGGCATGCCAGGTCCTCTGACCTCTGTGGGCCACCTTTTCTTGTAGAGTAAGTTAAAGACAAGGTTTTTGTACCACCATTGCTGGTAAATATCAATGACTTGAAAGATTGAATAACAGCTGCACTCAACACAGTGGGCATCATAAAGCACTTACAGCTAGTATCATTTTTTGTTGTTTTTTTTTACTTTATTTTTGAAATATAGCACACAGTGGTTTTGGTGCATTTTTAAAAAAAATCCTCCTGTATTTCTTTGAAACATTTAAACATACATTAAACAATCCAGAAATGGATCATCATACTTTTCAACTCAAATATTTAATGTACATATTTTTTATGTACATGTTTTTTTTTATTGATCACTGGTTAATCTTTTGAAGTATATTTATCAATGCAACAAAATTTAAAATAGTTTTCAAACTTTTTTTTTCAGAATGGGAGCTAACTATTGTTTATTAATTTTATTTATGGTTATCTCTCTTGTGAGTGTCCCATAAGTTTGATATTAATCAATTGCTACACCTTAACATACTTTAACACAACTATAAATAACAACTTTTGTATATAATTCTAAACATACATGCAGACTGGGTACAAGAAGAATCTACACTTCTGAGTTTATGGACCACATTATTTGATCTGTATTTGTGTGTGTGTGTACATAGACAATGCCTACATAATCACTTGCTAAATAAGGTTGAATAAAATGTCTCTTTACTTCATACCATATTCTGTTAGTATTATTTCTTCATGTAACATATGTCTGAAACACTGTTTATTTGTTTGTGTCAAGTCCATCATGTCTTCATACAGCTTAATTATTCAAAAATAATATACTAAAACTGCTTGAAAAAATGATTAAAAAACCCCTAAAATTTATCAAGAATGAAATAGTGGGCTATATATAGCATATAATAGTTTTGTATTTTTCTTAGACAACTGTTTTCAGGTTAAGCATTTAGATTTCCCTTCTCTATTTTCTATTATAGATGAGTCTAAAATTGTATATGATGCTGCTTAAGCCTGTATTCGCAGTACAATCTAGGATTTTTAAAGTATAGATATTTTAGGGACCCTGATGAGAAGCATGCATAAGACCATTACTAACAAAGGCATTTTGGCATAATAAAGCATTTTGTTGTGCCTAGGGCCAATTGATACTTATATTTCCAGAAGTATTATTGGATGCTATGATGAACCTAAAATATGTAATTAGAAAAATTAATATTGGTACAATTTAACCAAACCCTTGCACCTTCATAGCATTATTCTTCAAAGTCTCTGAGGTGGAGACCAGAGTCTGGACTATGGGAGGAAAACTGTGATTTATCAAATCCTAGGTGTTAAACCTCAAAGCTTTACAAAATACTTCTGATTGAATCAGAATGTAAAAATGTTGTTTACAGTGAACTCCAGTATTTAAGCTAAGGAAAGTTTCTAAAATGAGATTTTTTGAGATTGAAATTTTCTATGATGAAGAAATGAAAGCTGAAACATCTCTGGTGGTCACAGGGGTTGGTGATTTAGTGTGACATCATGATACAAAGAAAGGAAAAATTGATTTTCCATATGTTTGCAGACTATACTTTCTTGGTAACTTTCGGAAAGTAGGAAGGATCAGCTTCTAAACACGGCTTTCCCCATTGCAAGAATGATTTTAATTCTGCTGTTCTTTATTGATACTTTCATAGCAAAAATGTGTGGGTTTTCATTCAAAGGTTAAAATCATTCTCTTCAAAGATCCACTTCCAGCAACACAACAAATCTGAAACTGGAAAAGATTGATTTTGAAAACCTTGCATCCCTGCTTGAAAAATTTTAAGCAATGCAATCGATGTGTTGCCTGCAGAAACTTAACAAACATTACAGTTTACAATTACTTTTGTGAAAGATTAAGCGAAATCCACCTTACATAATTAGTTCACAAATGAACATCTCAATACAGTGTTCTGACCTGGAGTATCTTTGGTGCAGCCAGTTATATTCAGATCTTGGTTTTAGAAAAACAACTTCTAACAAAAATTTATTTATTAATGCATAGTTTTCCCCATCAAAGAAAGGAAAATATTTGTTTCAATTTTTTTTCCACATTTTATTTATGCCATGGCCAAATAGATGACAAACATTCTAAGAATAACAGCTGTCATTTGGTAACAATAATGGTTTATGATATACAATAATAATATGACAAGATAAAAAAAGTGACAAATTAATAATCTTGAGAGTTGAAAAGGATCAAACTTCTATAATGCCTTAATGTATAAAACATCTCAATATAACTTTCTAATTTAAAGGTATCAGTACATTTTTTTTTCAAGGAAAATTTGTTTGTTAAACAAGAGATTCAAAATAATTGATTTGCTCGGATCAAATTAATCAGCACAAAAATGAACAGGGATACTAGGATAACTTTTGATAAAGCCAACATTGATGCATTCAACAGTCTTTTCTTAAATTGTATCCAGGTTTGACATAGTCAATCACACTTGCTGACTTCACAGCACATACAAGGTGGAAGTTATGTGAATATAAAATTCAATGATGGAGTGTGCATACCTACAATCCATTGTGAAATTTAATACCATGAGTATTAGTAGAAAAACTATCTGCTGATTGAACAACAGTATAATGAGTTTGCACTACCAATAACTTCAATAAGAGAAATATAAAAGCAATTATTTCTAAGCAGTATTTAATGAGAACATGTCTTGACAGTTAAATGATCATAAGAACTAGCAAAGAAGAAAACAAGGAACTTTACTGACAATGATAAACACAAACTTAGCTAAAAGCAGTACAAATACAAATTTCAAGAAACTCTCATAGAGCCTGCATCAAAACAATAACTCAAACTGTTATATAATCCCTTTAAAAAAATCACAAACATTTATATAAAATCATATAGTTCAATCACAAACATTTATATAAAATCATATAGTTCAATCACAAACACTTATATAAAAACATATAGTTCATACACATATATTTTTTCAAAAATCACATTAGTTTAAGCACTTACAGTTATATACATCATTTTGTGCAATTATAAATCATGTCTTGAGAATAATCAAGAAACTATTTATTTGACTAGATGACATAGTACAAGGACAAAATAGGGAGAGCTGGTAAAAAAATTTATGATAGCATAAAGAAAATTATTTTTGAAAAAAAAATAATTTTACAATAAAAATTTAAATATGCTTATAAAAAGACCAATTATTGACAAACAGTTTTTGAGGGACAAATTCTTATTAAAAGTTGAAAGCTTGTGGATCTATTATTAATTCAAAATTAACACTTAAATGGATTTAATGGATGCAGAGATGCAACAGCAATGAAATATTTATAAACAAGGTTACCAAAGACAGTTTGTGTGGAAACAAAACTCAAAATCGGCCCCCGAAGTGGTCCACCCAAGCAGGCTTCAATATTTTCAGAAAGAACATCCGAATGAAATTATATGAAAGACAAATGAGAGATAAGAATTGAGAAAGAAAGTTAACAGATCTTGTGTAGTGCCCCAACGGTCCAGCAGATCAAAGGATAGGTGAAAGTGAATGTAAAGCATGGGCGTAGCCAGGGGGGGGGGGGGGTTCAGACCCCTTGCTAGCAACCGGGGTGGGGCTTATCCCCCCCCCCCCAAAAAAAAATCCTGGCTGCGCCCCATGGTGTAAAGTTAGATGTGAACCTGGCCTAACTAGTTCCCCATTAGACCTTGTGGTCTATAGACCAGATGATGTAAAGTTCATATCTGTTCATCTGCCTACGGTTAACGAGGGTGTCATGTAGCCAGCACAACGACCAACCGCCTTTGCTTTTCCCCAACTAATGTCAGGTACCCATTAGAGCTGAGTGGACTCAGAGGCACCCAAAGATTCCAAAGTTGAAAATCCCAGTCTTCACCAGGATTGAACCCGGGACCCCCAGTTTGGAAGCCAAGCGCTTTACCGCTCAGCCACGGCACCTCCCCTAGCCCAACTGATGTCTTATAGTTTTGATCTAATTGTTTTGAAAAGGCTTAATCTCTTTTCTTTTTTTTTTTTTTGAATCTCTTATTCAAATCCTCAAAAAAATTTTCTTTTGTAATTTCGCAATAACAAAAAGAGTTCAGGAAAATGAAGTTTAAAAGATTACTATGTTTTAAATTAGGTCTAACTAATAATGCATACTAATTAGTTTTTCTCTTTAAAAAACTGCTTGCATAACTGATTTAAAAAATTAGATTTTTCGCTTTCAGAAAAAAAAAAGTAGCCGTTGCATCAGAACTTTGAATGGTCTTAAATATTGTGATGTCAGATTTTCAATATCTTTTCTAGTTTACGAGATCTAAACGGGACGGACGGACAGACATTTCGCACAAAACTAATAGCGTCTTTTCCCCTTTCGGGGGCCGCTAATAAATATATATTTTTTATCAAGACTTTAGAGTTTGAGTGGACACTATAGGAAACCCTTGTTTTAATAACATTGCTTTATACAAATTCTGAAATCATATTCATCTGCATAAACCTAAAAAGAAAGTATACTGTACTGACATGGAGGAAATTTATTGAGATTTCAAGAAATTCAATATAATAACCAATTCAAACAAACAAAAAAAACGAATGAAAAGAAGGCACTTATTAAAGCAGAACTTTCTAATGCAGTGATGTGTATGGTTATGTGCAGATCTTTATCACAAAGGCAAAACAGAACTAAATAAAGGAAGGTTTAAAACCTGAAACTGAACTGAAATAAATATTTTAGTTGTGTAATGGTCACTTTGATTCTGCTCAACAGTTTGAAATGATTCCTAAAGTAGGAGTGTGTGCAGACTAGAGACTTTCCATTCAAAACAGGAAGTTGAGACAAAGTTAGGACTAAAGCTTAGAAACTAACTATAGACATGCTAAGTAAATAACAAAAATGGATGTATTAAAAAAAACATTCTGCACAGTGATGCACATTATTACTTCAAGATTGAAATAGTTGCAAACCATAAAAGAGTATCTGGCCAGCATAAAAATATTTTATTCCCACCAATAGGATGGACCCTCTCATGCCAAACAAAAATTCCAGTCTCTAAAAAGGCTGTAGCATATAATTGTCTGGACTTATAACAACTCAGCCACCAAGTCCTTCTGTAATGTAAATGTAGTTTTGAGATCAAACTAAGAGAAGCAACAATAAAAGTGTGATGTTTTGATAACAAAGAAAATATGTTAGCACATAACAAAACTTTTACCTTTTTTTGCCCATCACTGAGCATGCAATTTTAAAATAACTAGGTAAAAAAGTAGATCAAGGTAGCCCTTTTAGATATTCTAATCGGGGGGGGGGGGGGGGGGGGGGGGGGGGGGGGGGGGACAGTAAAAGAAGGTATCATGTGGCCAGCACAACAATCCCCCTTTTTCCCCAATATATGTGTGGACTCTGGGGTGTCATCCTTCACTGGGATTCAAACTTGAGACCCCCTCAGTATGGAAGCCATGTGCTTTACCACACTCCATATTGAGGGACTGGAGTGACCAAAAAATAAGACATCTACATCAGGGGAGTTATACGATACACAATGACTTTGTCAATAGGTTTCTCAGTTTCTCACTTAGAAATGTAAGCTATAAAATTAACAAAAAAAAAAAAAAAATCGGTATCTGGCCTATATTAAAAAAAAACAACACTAAATAAATAAATCACAAAATGACTTCATTGTCTACATGAGCACAAGTCAGAAGGGTGTGCTCTTGCATGAAATGAGAAAGCAAGAAAAGAATGACATTGAATTGAGATCAAGCTCTCTGTACACAACTCACTCAGAGGGAAAAAAAATTTTGTGAAAAAATGCTTTTGACTATTTGAATAAATTAAAATTCTCCAAAATTTATTTTGAATAGTTTTTTTAACACAGCATTAATTTCCTCATTGTAGTACAAATGTGACAAAGAAGGTATCACAACAGAGAAATTAAAATAAAAAAAAATATCAATAATTTAAAAGCAAATTACAAAAATTGACTTCAGCAGAAGTGTAATTAAAAACATTTTTAAAACATCCCTATGAACTGTTGTAGATGGCTCAAAAATCAATGTCAGTGCTATGATAGGTTGAGTAGTTTAAAGAAAGATAACTTTTTATTTGATATGATGCTTTGAAAATTGGTGTAGACAAAGGTACATACAAAGGAGAGCAAAACAATTATAATATATAATAAAACAACAAAGAAAGCAATAATTATTTAGCTGGACAAAAAAACAAAACATTTTTGTTTTATGTGTTTACAGTGCATGATTTGCATATTTCTGAAATTAAACAAAATACAAAAAAAAAGCAATTACTTTTAAAAGCAAGCGAATTAATTTTGGACAGGTCTTCTTATTTTGTACAGGGTTAAAAAAAACACTTATATTTGAGCAAAAGAAAGAAACCCAGAAGAACACAGATTTTTTAAAATCAATAAACAAACGAATTTAAAAAACAGTAACAAGCATAGACTTTTTATATCACAATAATTTTCACCAATAACAATGAATATGTTGAGAGTTCTATTTATGCATCATTTGATAAAAATACCTTCATGCCAGAATTATCCAATCACCACATACATTATAGTCATGTGATATTTTAACAGCACAGAAATATTTCTTTTAAAATACTACAAGGAAAAACAATTTTTCATTAAAAAAAACTATAAATTTCTGTTCAATGTATTTCAAAAACATTATTGGAATGACCAAAAACATATATGTGTATAAATGCCAAAGTTACACCATAACATATCATTTGATCTACTCTACAATGTGCATTACAGTAAACAGTTCATACAAAAAACAAATCACTTTTCTGTTCTATAGAACATTACATTACAGCAAACAATTCAAAGAAAAATATGAGATCATCTCATTGAAACATTGATTATTTCCCTTAACTAAATGAATAATTTCACAAGATATAATACAATTATCTTTTTTTATTGACTTGTACCTTTGTTTCTTATCTTCTATGAAGATGATATAAAAAAAATCATTGACATGTACAGAAAGATATTTGATAGTGAGAAATAATATACATACACAACAATCTAAACCAGTGGTTCTCAAACTGTGGTCCGCGGATGCCTAAAACGACTTAAGGTTCACAGAAAGATGAAAATTGTAGGTCTATACAATTTAAATAACATTGCTAAAAGCCAATTTATCTGATCAAATAAGTTGAATACTAATCAACTTGTCCTCAATGCTGTTTAATATATCTATTACTTATTCTATGACGACCTAAACGAAAAATTTGAAAACATTCTTCACTTGGATATTTCCGACTGGGCAAACTATTTTGCGCATGGACAAACTCAGATTCTAATCACAGATGAATCAATGCTAACACAAGAAAAGCTGACTGAAATATCACAAACAAGAAACTTAAACCAAGTTTAAACTAGGATACCAAATGTTCTAGTTATAAACTATATTCCAAATTTATATCATGCATTATGGGTAAATTATTATCATTTTTAAGATTTGTGATTTTGTGGTTGACTTCTTATGGGTACAACATAGAATTCAATTGCTGTAATGAACCTCATCACAAATAAAAGAAACCAACCTGAAATTTATGAAAAGAAACCAACCTGAAATTTATGCTTGTTGAGCTGGGCATGAATACACTAAAAAAAATCTCAACCTCATCCAAGCCATTAATTTTTTATAAATTTTTATTGTAAACAAAAGTTATAATTTCAATAAAAACTCCTTCAACAAAATTTTTTTTTTTTTCACATTTGTTTCTTATATAATAAGCATTTATGTAGCCTTTTTACTTAGGGGATCCATGAGCAAGTTTTGACTGTAAGGGGGGTTTCCAAGTCAAAAACCTCTGACCTAAACAATTATAATATTTAATGTGATTTGGTAGGTTCTCTTTATGCAGGTTCCAAGCAAAAGCCATTATATTCAAAAGGATGACCAACATATTACTTTTCAACATCAGAT